CACACGCACACGCACACGCACACGCACACGCACACGCGCGCACACACACACACACACGCACACACACACACACATATATATATATATATACACACACACACATAGACATGTACTTTCACATACTTGCATATACATAAGCATACACGCCGCATACACACGTATGCACGTGTACATTAACATACATACATACATACATACATACATACATACATACATACATACATACATACATACATACATACATACATACACACACACACGCACATATATGCATACACATGCGTACATGCACGTGCGTACGTACAAATGCGTGCACATACGTGCACATATGTAGGCACACACATACTCGTATATGTACATGCATAGCTGCATACACCATGCATACGTTACATGACCTTACATCACATCACATTACATTACATTACATTACATATGCGCACACATCCATGCATCCGTCCGTCCGTCCAGCCAGCCAGCCATCCATCCGTCCTTGATGCATCTGTCCTTCCATGCATCCGCCCATCCGTCCATCCATCCATCATCCATCCGTCCATCCATCCATCCATTCATCCATCCATTCATCGATGCATGCATCCATGCATGCATGCATGCATACATACATACATACAAGCATACATAGAGTTTAGGTCAGAATGGAATCGTGCCAGGCGGAGGACCGTAGCAAGACCGAAGCCGCGCGCACAGCCTCGTACCCGTGCCGATCTCAATCGTGCACGCATGCTCCTGCAGCACTTGTCTCGTGCCGTCGCCGTACACGGAGGCGTTGGTTTCATGTTGGCTGTTCCTGCCAGGGCGCCACATGCCACTCGAGAGGTCTTCACAAGACCTGAGGCAAGACCTGAAGTGAAGTAACGGGCCTTTGCAGCGCACACAATTCGGGGTGAGTGACTTCCTGCTCTCACAGGGCTTGGATCGTTCTGGGCCTCCGCCTCAGATGGGCAGGGTTGGACAGTTTGAGCCCAAGCGGCAGCCTACAGTCAGTCTTGTTCCTGCAAGTTCCTTCTCCACCGGAGCTACGCCCGCCGGCCAGGACTGATTCGAGTGTTGGCCGGCCCTGGCCCATGCACCAGTTGTAATATTTCCTCACTGTCCCGGATGAGGATGCTGCCCCTGGCCGCGCTGCGCCGGGCGAGACACCCTACGTTCCGGCGGGAGCACCGTGGGCGGAGCGTCCTCTGCTTACTCGAACGACGACAACTCGTGAGGCCGGCATGCCTGGTATTCCCTCCAACTCGGGACCTTCCGGTTCTGGGCCGAAGGACTGCAAAGTGTCTTTTGGGGGGAGAGATACTGCATGCAGACTCCTATGCAGGTCTCGCTACAGCAGGAGCGAGCAAAGCAAGAGGCGTTTCTGCACCACCAGGAGGCTCAGCTACACCGAGAGGAGGCCCAGCGGCAACAGCAGCAGGAAGCGCAGCGTCAGCAAGAAGAAGCCGAGAGGAATCGACGAGAAAGATACGAGGAGCAACAGCGGAATCCGGGACACTCGGACCGGCCGAAGGAGCAAAAGGATGCAGAACCTCAGCAACCTCCGACCGACTGGGTTCGGTACAAAACCCCAGATGGGCAAGTGTACTACCACAACGAAAGAACGAATCACACGGTGCTGCCGGCATGGGAGCAAAAGCGCCGGTGAGCTGTTTCCGGCTGCGGTCTATCAGGCCTGGTCGCTGCCGCCAGGGGCCACCAGCCGAGAACCGGCCAAGGGCCCAGATGCAGATGTCTCATAGAAAACTTACTATATACTTGTATCAGAATTTTAGTACAGTACTATGCGATAACATGTACTCTACTATACTTCTTCTATTGTGTACGAAAGTATACTGTAGAGAACAGAGAAGCCTGCCAGGTGGCAGCCGGCCAGCAAGGCCGCGGGGCATGCCAGCAGCCTTCTCCCAGTCTCTGCTGTTGCCAGGCTCGCAGCAAGCGAAGGAGGAAGGGAGAGGGCTTGTCAGAACCCTAAACCCTAAACCCTAAATCTCCCAAACCAAGTTTCGGGAAGAGTCGGGGTCACAGCCTTGGCGCATGTCTGTGAGGACGAGCCGTGGGCTGACCTGCGGAAGCAGCAGGAGGAGGAGTCTTGTACTTTGGAGACGGTCTCATGTGTGTTGATGAAGGAGTCGTGCACTTGTCAGGGCCTCCCAGTCTTGGGGCTGTTCATGCTGTTATTGCCACCACTTTGCAAACAAAATGCGCGTCCATTCCATGTCATGAAAATGCGAACACCTACTGGCCTTGACATCAGACTCTAAGAGGGTTCAAGCTGTTGCAAAATTCGGTGAACTGAACATCAACCTACTACACAAAATTTGGCAAAGACGGACGTGTGCCGACGCTCCTGTCTCTAATGCCTGGAACTGTTGGCATGCATGGGCATGGATATGCAGCAGGAGACACGCAAGCAGCAGCAGGAGTGGCAACAGCGGGGCTCGCAGCACCATCCTCCCAGTTTGATGCCTTCAAATCCTGCCGCAGGCTCCAGTCTTTCAAAGCCAAGGTGGTACCAGCAGTACACGCAGTGGTACTCCCAGCAGGGAGCTGCAGGAGCTGCCGGCGCCGGAGCCGTCGGGGCCATAACGTTGCTGTTGCTCTTTTGTTGTTGCAAGTGTTGAACAAAGGCAGTTCCGCATGTTGACACAGAATGACGTGCAAGTGCTTTGATACTGCGCATCGTCTTCGTCACCATCGTCATCACCATCGCCATCGCCATCATCACCACCATCGTGATCGCCATGAGCAACATCAGCATCATGGCTATCACCTGCGCCATCATCATCGCCATCACCATCACTATCACATATCCCCATCTCCGTCACCATGGCCGCCATCATCACCATCACCATCACCATAGCCACAAGGATCGCCATCGCCGCCGCGAACACCATCGCCGTGATCGTCATCACCATCGCGATCGCCATCGCCTTCACCGTCACCATTTAAATCAATCCTCGTGCAGACTCGTTCATGATTGTACATTGTGCGACGACAACACTGCCACTGCTGACGATGACGACGGTGGCGGCGACGACTACGACTCGACTGGGACTGCTGTGACTGCGGCTGCGACTGCGACTAGGACTGCTGCCACTACACTAACAGCCGCTCCCGCTACTGCTGCTAGCGCTCATCACTCCTTCGCAGCTGTAGTCTCAACAGCGTCTCCAGCTACTGTACGAGGCTACATATACAGGCTGGCACACAACAGTTTTTTTGGAATGACCTCACGTTTATGACCGCACATCGCAGTCGACGCACCAAATTCCACAGAAGCGGCCAGTTGTATTGACAAAAGTGCTTTTGGAAGCAACAGCAGCGGCGACGACTACCGCTGCGACAGCCCCCGCATCCACGCACATTCCGAAACTTACGCTGCCACTGTGATTGCCGCATCTTGGGACTCTTTGATCGCTTCCAATCGAAAACTGCTTCCTTCGGCCCATCCATGCACAGGGGCTTGGAGCTGCAGGTTTTCAGGCTGAGATTGTGACTGTTTGCATTGTTGTTCGCTTTGTCATGACTGCTACACCATCACATACGGGGTGATTGCTAAGTTACAGTTGCTCAGGCAGGTGCAGAGTCCGGAAAACAGAGCAAGCTGGCTGCTGAGTTTTTGTGCGACGGCACAGGTGCCACCGAGACTTGAGCGTCGTTTACGCATGTCAGCAATCTGTTTGCTCGTTTAGGTCAGGTGGTCAAAAGCAACAGAAGGCGGGAGTTGCCTTGTCTGGGCCGCCCGAGTTGAGATACTTGTGTCCCTCAAGGGATCGCAGAGCAGCGAACAAGCCGGCAGCTACGTGCCGCCACGCGGACCAGCGGCGGCCACAATGTCTGAGAGTTATTCTCCAAAGGGCATCAGCTGGCTCTTGCTCAGGCACCTCCCAAGCTTGATGCTGGGTTCGAGGACCATGCCGTGTACCAGATCAAGAGCTCCGTTCTCAAGGTGGGTCTGGCTAGACAGTTTGCATGCAACTGCTTGTCAGTGCAGCTTGGCCTTGGGGGCTTTCAGGAGATGGAGTCAATGGTCAACCAGGTCTTGTATCAGCCAGTCCTCACTCTTTGTCAATTTGACCAAAGTGTGAGTTGAGATGACCTCAAACTCTGCAGGGCTTGGAGGTTGCGAAGAGGAAGAAGGCCTTGAGGCCGCTGACAGTCTCCGTCCACAATGCATCATATTTGCCTACATGTGGTTTCTTTCATTTCGGAGGTGCCTTCAATTGCGGTGGCATCCTGATAAGAACCCTGACAAGCTGGAGGTTCGACTACAGTTACTAAGGCGATGTTGTCAGCTCCTCCAATTGCCTCTTTTGCATGAGGTTGCCAACAGCATCTTCCAGTTCATCGAAGAGACCAAGCCATGGTTTCTCCATGATCCGAATGCGCAGTAGGCCCATCAATGCGAGTGTTGAAGGAGCGTAGACCAAGTGTAGGTCCGCAGATGCAGCCATACTCCACAGACATTAGACTCATTACACGTTGCCCGGGTAGAGCTCGTCCAAGACGAAGCTCGGGGATTGCACGTCCGGTGCCAAGGAAGCGTTTCACTCAAGCAGACATGTGGCAAGATTCAACATCCTGATTCTTCGATTGTTTTGCTGGTTTGTACCTGTACCGCCCTACTACTGGCAGATTGTGTCAGCTTGCAAGTTGCAGCCCTAGATTTGGCACAAAAGCGGCCAGTTCCGTTAATGCATCTTTTGACCTAGCCTGTCGGGCAGGCAAAATCATCCTCAAAAAGCCGTGATCCTCTTGCGGCTCCACCATGCAATCTCACTGGCATCAGTTTTGCGACGACACACCAGAAATCACCCACAATTATACAATGTACTGGTAGTAAATCATGATATAAGATGGTACAAATTGAATTGTGTCTTGCATAATATAGTCTAATGTAACATAATATAACAATATAGTATTAGATTAGATAGTATCATGCAATACATTTTATACAGTCTAAGACCTTCCCGAAGCACCGGCTCGAAACTTTTTTGCGCCCATCCGCTCTGTAATGGCAGAGGAGGCCTCGTTCTCTGAGTTTTCGCTGCGGCTGTGACAGCAAAGAGTGTGGGGTTCGGGTTTAGGGTGTCGGTTGCTTACGGTTCCACTCCTAGACGCTTGAGTCCTTTCAGCTCTGACTCTTGCTGGCTTCGACGAAGGGTTGGGATTTTGTGCAACATGCAAAGTTCTGGCCGGTCGTATTTCATGTTTGCACGCTCGGCACTGTACTCTTGTCGGAGACGGGAGCTTACATTGCCATCTCAGACCCTTAAGCCCTGAAGTTAAGCCCCGATCTGGCGTCGGAGCTTTTTGGTGGTCCTTTACAAATCGATGCGTTCTTGACAAAGTCAGCGAAGCGGATGTCTGCTGCCACCAGCACTGGCAGGCTCGAAGTGAGGTGCTGCAGCCGCCAGTTCCGCAACATGCCAGGATCCCAAGCGGTGTAAATAGTAGGTTCAGGCACCACCAACAACAACAGTTTTGTTCGGCTCCTGCACAACAACTACAACAACAAGTACTACCACGACGACGACGACGACCTCGTCGTCCTCCTACTACAGCTGCCAGTACTGCTGCTACTACTACTACTCCTCCTACTCCTCCTCCTCCTACTACTGCTGCTGCTACTGCTACTGCTACTGCTACTGCTACTGCTACTACTACTACTACTACTACTGCTACTACTGCTACTACTGCTTCTACTGCTTCTACTGCTGCTTCTACTGCTACTGTAGCAGTACTACCTCTACTACTCCTCCTCCTGCTGCTGCTGCTGCTGCTGCTACTGCTACTGCTACTGCTACTGCTACTGCTACTGCTACTGCTACTGCTACTGCTACTGCTACTATGACGACGACGACGACGACGACTACTACTACTACTACGAGTACGAGTACGAGTACTAGTGCTAGTGCTACTGCTACTGCTACTGCTATTGCTACTGCTGCTGCTACCACTGCCGCTTCGACGACGACGAACACTGCTACTGCCACTGCTACAACTCCATTACAGGACCAGGACGACTAGATCGAAACTGCAACACAGCAACAATGACTACCGCTAGTGTAATTCTAGCAACAAAGCCATATCGTTACTCGGATCTCTATTTGAATGTGTCATCGATGTACTGTGGCTTCTTTACTACTGTCACTAGTGCAGCAACGGATAGCTGACGGAAGTGCGAGCGCCGGTGTTCTGCATAGCGAGGTGCAGACAACTACTTTAGAAACGACGCAGGCAGCCGGATTTGCAGTCGTCTCTTTCGTGTGGTTTCTGACAAATTTCATGTAAGATTTTTGTTCAAGGTCATTGAGGTGCCAAGCTCAGTACAGCAGCCTTGGTGAAAGGAGGCAGACTCTGAAGGGTAGCTCTGGGGTGTCAGGTGCCGGTCGCGAATCCTCTGCGGGCAGCAGACCGAGGTGTCAGAGAGTGCAGTGAATCACTGACCACATGGCCATCCTGTCCTTGGAGATTCATACTGGCACGTCCTTGCTGTGGCTCGTGGCACGCAGGCTTCACAATCAAGTCCCTGAGGCATTCGCTTGCTTTCAGTTTTGCTTTCATGATGCAGAGGGAGACGAAGTTCCCCGAAAAAGGAGCCGAATTTCTACATGGCGGATCCCCGAGGCCATGGCAAGTGCCGAAGGGCTGGCACTCTCACTGTGAGCGAAAGCCGTGCCTCGGTTTGCTTGCCTTTGGAGGCGGGCAAAGACGTGCCAATGTATGTGCAACGAGCTTTTCGTGCCCAGGCCTCGGTTGAGACTCAAAGACTCAAGCTTCGTCAGCACGAAGCGTGCTTCCAGCAGAGGTCAAGACTTTTGCCCTCCTGGCTCTGCAGCTGCTCGACCTGCAAAAGACAGAAGGGACTTGTATCGAAGAAGCTTCATGAACCGGTGGTAAAAACCAGGCAAGGCTTCTGCTTCACGATGATGGTACTCCTCCGACAAGTGGTTTGGGTCCGTGCCCTTAGTCCACCGTGGCCCGTATGTCGATGGCCATAGGGGGCGACACGCCAAGGATGGCCAGCCAGTGAAGAAGTCGGCTATGGTTGAGGTGCGGCGAGCATGTCTGAAGTCTTGAGCACGTTAAGTCTTGAGCACGTTATGCATCCGCTACATTGGCACGATGTCATGCAGGGCCTCTACTACTTGCTGAGCTTCGGAGACATGGTGATGATCATGCAACTCTGGCTCATCCGAAGCAGCTTCCCCTACAACTACCTCATGATGACCGTGCCATGCTCGGCACAGCTCCGTCGACAGCTGCGTGTCATGTCGACTTATTGCTGTCTGATTTGAATCCTGCAGATGTCTGCATAGGTGATGACCTGCGTCACGGCAGTGCTGTGGAGTCTGACAGAATCGGTCTTCGCAACGCTTTTGCACATGGAACTCGTTTGCATGACATGTATAGCAATGGGCATTGCATCGTTGGGGTGCTGCGTGCTCACGCGCGAATTCTTCAAGTGCCTCTCCGTGCACGCTGTTCCGATTGCTCTCTTCACTGGTTGGCTGACGGCCTCAGTCACTCGGACACGCCGAGGCAGAATGCAACTTTCACGAAAGCCCGCAGCTGTTTCAAGATTCGCAGAAAGTTCAAAAAATCCGAGGTTGGGGTCGTTCTCGTCGAAAGGCTGACCCCACTTGAGCCGAACATGAAAGACTGGGAACCATGGCTGGCCTCTGTCTTGCTGGGCCTGCTGCTCCTGCTGCTGATGTTCGAGGGAAGATTAGCTTTAATGAGAAGCCAGCCCGATGACTTCATGGGAATCCTGATCATCATGAACGGAAGTATGATGTCTGTGGTTTCTCGGCTGCCACACCGCCTTGCAGCGCCCTTCAGACGGGAAGGGGGGAAGGGGCCGACTTGCGTTGAGGTCAGTGTTCCGTTCTTCGTCATCATCTACGGCTTCTTATACATGACGCGTGAGGAGGACAGTGACCCTAACAGTGTGAGAGCCACTGAAGAAGAGCCGCAGCCACACTTAGATGATGTGCCACACCCGCTGGCAGTAGGAGAGCCCTAGTGCACGCTGCATGCGTGCATGTGTGCATGCGTAGTTAGTAGAATCTACAGGGCCAGCAAGTCTTTTAACAAAATCATCCTTGTGCGAGCCGGTCTGAATCAGATCAGTTCGGCCGCGATTGATGCCTAGCCGCACAGGGCTGCTGCTTTGTTTTTGGCAAAAGTCCAAAAGATTTGTAGCCTTCGGAGGCAAAGCAACTTGGCAGGCCGATTTCCAGGGATGTGCAGTTCCACTGTTGTACAGGCAGCTTGCTGAGAATTCAGAGGCCTATAACGAAGGGCCGCCACAGCTGAGCTATACCCACCTCTTATCAGCAATAGCTCAGAAAATGCACATGCATTGTCTCTGTGATGTGGCACATGTGCGTCATGTCATGCAGCGCCAGCAGGAGCAACTGCGCATCGCATCTTCCAATGCCTCAGAGATCCAAAGTCCATGCTTCAAAAAACGCACACCCCAGCGAAGCTTGGAAGAGCCACGGTAATTTGTTTTCCTGAATCTTGTTGCTTTTTTGCCAAAAGAAGCAGGCTGCAGGCTACGCGCCAGAACACCTTGAACCTTTCCTGCCCCATGAAGCGCTTGTTTGGGGCGCCGAAGCCAGTCAGCCGCACAGCTATTTGCGGCTCCGGGTATCGACTGAATGAATGTGTAAATAAATATAGATATAAATGTAAATATAAATAAACACATAAACACATAAATACGTATATAAATAAATCTATAGATAGATAGATAGATAGATAGATAGATGAAAAATAAACATAAAATATATATGTATATATATATACACATGTGTGTCTATATATATATATGTACACACACATACACATACACACACACACATGCACACACATACACGCATGATTTGCCAGCTCCTCGGCCTCTTCCTCCTCCCCCTCCGCCTCGAGGACATAGCTTGTGACTCTCGGTTTCGGGGGCGCCATTCCAGATGAGTGCAAGCAAGAAAAAGAGCGCTGCTTCCTGTGCCGCAGTGATGACAGAAGCTCTAACATCCACATTGTGCCCGCTGCCGAACTTGCAAGCCTTGCATTAGGTCACGGTGCACAGAAGTGGAGCAACGCAGCGATGGAGGGCAGCTTGGAGCACACTGAACACTCTGGAGATAGTCAGGGCCCGGAGTGGTGGCGGCGTTGTGCTTGTACTGCCTGCACCTGTCGCCGAGCGCCGCACGTCGGAGCTCCGAGAGCATCAAAAAGTTTCTGACTGTGCCAGTCGCCGGAAGCAGCAGTGGTTATCGGCGAGGCCCTTGCACCAGCGCAGCCCTCAGATGTCTCGCGAGCTAGGCTCGCGTTTGCCTCGCTGCGGGAGTCTGTCAAGTCCGTCTCTGAGGCCGGGAGCGTGGCTCTGAGCCCGACGTGCACTGCGGGACCACAGGTGCTGCAGACTCCTCGCGATCTTCATGCTTCCTGCCACATTTCCAATCATATTCAAAGTGTACTTCTGCCTTGTGCTGCTGCTGGATTTCCTCGGGGCCCAAGCGAAGTACACAGCAATTAAGCCTGGCTGTAGTGTGCATGATGCCATGCGCACAGCAAACCGCTTGGCCATCTTGCAGGACGTGCGCCAGGGCCTCGTCGAAATGTGGAAATGTGACCATGACAAGCTGTGAGACCTACACTGGTTCCTAGGAAGACTGGCTCTCGTTGAGGAGGAGATACCCACACCTGCAGATGGAGAGGTACTGGTGCGCATCACCCATGCCGGGTTATGCGGATCGGACTTGTTCCTTGACATGGCTTTTCACAGCTCAAGGGGCGAGCCTCTTAAGGTGAAAAAGGGGGGGGCCTTGCCGACTTGCCGAGGCACTACTTTCGCCATGGAGGCTTGGGGTCCTTCAAGACACCAATGCCGATGTATATGGGCCACGAGCCAGCGCCTGGATGCAGACATGCTGAACCCCTGCATGCTTGTGAAACATTTTTGGGGGGATGTGAGGCTGGCGTCATCGCAGATGCCAACAAGTGTCCGGGCTGGGCAGTGGGAGACCGCGTAGCAGTGGTACCTAACTGCCCATACCTTGGTTCGAAAATGTCCATGAAAGGCCAGGACCTCGCTTTGCGTGCGTGCTCGCGTCCCCCCCCAGCAGCCCAAGCACTTGGCAAGCGTGTTCTTGCGTAGGAAAGCAGCACCTCTGTGAATGCGGCACCTTCATGGGTGCTGGGAAGACCCGGGGCTGCTTTGCGGACTTTGATTCTTGGCAGATGCGCATACGCAGTCCTATAGGCTTGCAATCGAAGGATTGAGGATGCATGTAAGGCCCTCCTTGTTGCAGCGAGTGCTCAGGTGTGCGTCAGCGCAGTTCAGCTCGTGCGAGTTCCTTCGCATGTGCCTCTCGAGTTGGCCATGATGACCGAGCCGCTCTCTGTGGCTATGCATTCGTTGCTTCTTTGCAGGGAGCTGTCACATGTCACTTCTTACTCGCAACAAGCAGTAATCTGAAACGTCGGCGAAGCATGCCCCTGCTAGTATCATGTATTCTCGTACCGTGTCTTCTGTTTTCTGCCAACTTCGTCTTTTTTGCCGAATATACTGTTTTGCAGCACCCTCTGGGGGGTGGGGCACAGGGGGGCTCATTGCCTTTGCTGCGCGATAGTGCTACACAAAACGCTTCAGACTTCGACTTGCGCTTTCAGGTCGAAGTGCGCCCTGCTAGCGTTGCTACTGGCTACCGTAGTCTGCCAGTCAAGGAAGAACACAAATCTGTCTCTTCGGAGGAGGGCTTTGGTCAGAGTAGGAACCACATGGACGAAAGGCTGAAGTTGAGTCAAACCGCGATCTTGGACGCGGTGGATGGCGATGTTTGCATCTTCGGTGCTGGTGCCATCGGCCTGTGCCACCTGCTGTTATTGAAGCACGTGGGAGCCCGAAGTGTGCACATCGTGGAGCCCTTGGAAAGACGACGCCAAGCTCAACTTGAGCGCGCTGGACCCGAGACCTGAGACAAGACAAAGCCAAGCTGGGAGCTGCTCTGCTGCTTTGCGCTTCTAGCCAAGGAAGGGAAGTCGCTCTCCGGCTTGGAGCCAGCAGCGCTCTCCCTAGCGAGGGCTGCGCTGCAGGGCTCAAGGCAAGACTGGGCAAAAGTGGCTGCGAGCTGGTCTTCGATTGTGCTGGCACAGAGCAGCTCCCCGGTTGCCTTGGATGCGGGTCTTTCCTTGAGTCCATGCTCAACAATCCAAGGAGCTTTCAGGCCGCCCTGCAGGCCTGGTTACTGGGAGAAGTGTGGCATTCCAGTCGCAGTTTGGCCCAAAGCCCCAAGAGGTTGCTTCCAGCGCTGCTTTGGTCGTGCTCGTCGGGATCCCGGAGGTGGACCACCTGCCCTACAATCCGCATGTGGCTCGCACGAAGGAGCTGACAATCCTCAATGTGCGCCGTGCCAACCAGACTTTGGCCACTTGCCTCGAGCTGCTCTCGACATCAGCCCAGCTGCGGGAAGGCTGCCTCACGATGCTAACGCACCAAATGCCCCTTTCGACCCTTGGCTGCACGGCTGCTTAAACGACCACGAGCAGGGCACCTTGCCAGTATCCCGGCTTGTCGCCAGGAGCATCCAGTCGGCATTTGAGATGGCATCCTCATACCAAGATGGTGCGATCAAGATTGCATTGTTCCCGGAAGTCAAAAGGCATAGTTTGAAGCGTGTGGGCCTCATCGGCGGGACTGCACACAGCGTGGAGTATTTCAGGCAGCTTCAGGCAACTCATGGGATCGAGCTGGTCCTTGTTGCTGTGGATGAGATCGACTCAGCTGTGAAGTGGCCTCATGTCGACGAGAACCGAAAAAAGCTGTCCGACCTCTGCAGCGAGCAGAAAGTGCGACATCTGGATTCATTGACGGAGATCCCGACTGGTGTGGAGGACTCGGCCGGAGACTTAGTAAAAAGGCTCGCCTGCTCTCCTGATCTGTGCAGGAGCTTGGCCTGGACTTGCTGATAGATGCCGGCTGCCATCTGCAAGTCGATGCGCCTCGTGCAGCTTAGCTCAGTTCAGCTCCCCGGTCCAACCGAAACATCTTGCTTATTCCGGATCGGGTCGCTTATGTTCGACAGCTTCGTCAATTCAAAATCCTCGCAGCTCGCGCTGTCTTCGCGGTCTCTTGGTGTGTGGTGTACAAGGCCATCTTGTCCGAAGCATTGGCGCCTCACGGCATTCGCGTGACGACAGCGCTGGCACTGCCCTGCGCTTCAATGGCGTGTGCCTTGCTCGGGGGCGGCCCCGTGGGCATAACAAGTACCCTGGCCTGCAGAAAAACACCGGTCCGGTTCCTCCAATCCTCGACACAACCTGACCTCAATAGCCAAGGCTTCATTAACGAGGACCATGGCAAATTTTCAAAAGGTTCCGTGCGGAGTCAGCCAGCAGCCAGCAGAAGCCAAACGTTTTATCACAGGACACTTTGGTGGACATCTGCGAAGTGCAAACGGAGAGCGCCTGCTCCGGATGGGAGGCAATAGAGACGAATCACGGCGAAATCAGGGAAATGCCTTTTGAGAGAGAGAGAGAGAGAGAGCAAGAGCACGCGGAGGAGTTCCCCCTGCCCATAACCCTGCCGAAAGAAAGAAAGCACGCGGAGGCAAAAATGTCTATAGGATCTGAATGTGCAGACTGTGCTTTTCGGTCATCAATCAAGACTGTGCACTCACAAGGCTATCTGCAGCTGCTGCACGCCGTCTGCCGGGCTGGATCCAAGCTCTGCAAACAGGTGACTATGCATCGGCCTGAGATGGTCAAAGTGGCATGTCAGGGTTGCCGTAAACGACACGTGCTTTTTTTGGAACCACTGAAGGACATGTCTATGCTGGGCGTGTGGCGCTCTTCGCGAAGGTGCTGGAAAAAGCCAGGAGTCACTGTGCCAAAAGCACCTGAGCCTGGCAAGCCTTTGAGTACATTCGAGTTTGAAGGAGCCGCCGCGCCTGGCGTGCATCCGAACGAGGGCTGGGTGTCCTGGCACTGGCGGAGAGCCGGCCTTGGCATTCCGCAGCTCTGTGGTAGCTGTGCGGTCATGCAGTCATGGTCCGAGGGACCTGCGCTTGTTCGGGACGGGACTCAGGCAGCTTCCTGCAACGCTTCGCGCGTTCTCAGCAACTGGAACCGCATGCCCAAGCCACACGCCTCTGCCGGGAAGACGGCCAGGCTGACTACGAGATCTTTCGCTCGTTGACTGTGTTGGCTGTCCATGTGAGGAGGTCAGATTCACGGTGTTGCAGGCCTTGACTGCTTGTATGCAATTGTGTGCATAGTAGATGCAGAGTTGTTGATGTGGTGAAGGTGCACCCCGTGGAGGCTTAGATGCGCTTGAGATTGCCTGCAAAACTGGCCAACTCCCTCGTGCGGCCTGCCATGCACTTCTCTGCCCGACTGAGCTCAGGACACGTTCCTTACAGCCAGGGATCGGCTGCAGCGCTTCGCATCGGCTCTGCCCGGTGAGGTGGTTTGCTAGTATCTGGCCACATGCAGCATTTGTAGACTTTGCCTTGCAGCGTGGAGGTGCTTTGTGTGGATGGAGACTGCGCGTGGGTCCGAGGTGCCGCCTGCTTGTACAGATGCGCTCCTTGTTCGCACTTCTTTGACGGATGCACGCATGTTGGGCTGGCAGGTGCAGATGCTGAAATCCAGTGTCAGCTCTCCGACAAGCTGCGCAAAGGCGAAGAAGCAAACAAGAAGATGTTGTGTCACATGATCCGCATTTACGCATGCTCTAGCATAACCCCACTGCACCTGCAGGAGAGGTGTTACGATCCATCGGAGATAGGGGTGCCCATGGCATTCCAATCACCTTCTCCGGTGTGCCTTAGTGGCAGTTTCTCGTTCAAACAGGATTCTGTTGTGCGGCCCATGCCTGTGCATGTCAGGAGCTGTGGCTGCCAAGTCTGCCGACGATCACTGATGGCGTATCAGTTTCGCGGACGCCACCTGAACGGCCGCGCGCTCGCAGACTGATGTTTCGAGTTTGAGTTTCTATACCATTTAATCCCAGAGCATCTGAGTGAAACAAGGGGGTGGGGCGCCTGGGTCTGGGTGTTTCAGTTTCGGTGGTAGCACAGCACCCGTGGCGGCCTAGGTTCCTAGATCGCGACGTTTCCCCAGACTCCCTCTAAAATCTAGACGAATTTTACCTTCATCGACATTTGTGATCTTGCACGTTTCGGATTGGAATGTAGCAGAGAGCCACGGATGGTGCTGAAGCCATAGACGCTGGCTAAGGCATGCTGAAGGCGGTGTCGAGGCACGCTCCACACCCCGAAATGTGCCTGACGCCCACATTCCTCTATGATTCGTGACGAACTGTAGAATCAATTCGATACTCAGGCCAATGTTCCGTTTGGACTTTGAGTCAGACTTTGTGGATGCTTTTGCCGCCGGAGCACGAGACATTCTTTGCAGTGGGCGGCCACTGAGCGAGAATGTATTCACCAGGAGCGGCGCGAAAGGTGAGAGACAGAGAGAGAGAGAGAGAGCGAGCGGACAGATCAGGTAGTGTCCCTCAAACCCCCTGGAAGCCGCACAAACCGTGGGTGGCCCATGTGGCCAGGGGGCCTGACCCTCCCCTTATGCCCGAAGGAAGAAGAAGAGAGCGAGAGAGATGGAGAGAGGGGGCTTGCGCGAGTTCCTGCCCTCATTTGAGGGCCTTGGCTGATTGGAAGAGGACTCAGCATGTTACTTAGCTTGCTGCAGGAAGTTCGAGGCGGCTTTTTCCAAGTTGGTGCATGCACCGTTTGCATTGGCAACCACGTTGTCGCCCCAGAGGGCTCCAGCAGTTTTAGACTTGCCTGAGTTGGTCTTTCACACTAACCCGAGGTCTGGAACTGTAGCCCTGGACATTGCCATGCGAGCTGTTGGGGTCGCTGGCAAGGTGAGGCTTCTGTTGCAGATCTTGGTGTGACTGTTGCTGTCTCACTCTCGGCACATCAGGTCGCAGTTATCCCCAGCAACACATTTTTCGCCACTCAAGTAGCTGCCTCCAATGCTGGGGCGGTCTTGGAGCCTTGACTATCGGCATAAACTTGTCTGCAGTACAGTATAGTTCCGTGGTCTGGAACCTCGTTGCCCAAGGAATGGGTTGAGATTGAGCCAGAATACATGCAGGCCGGATTTTGCTGATCAGCTTGTGCTAACACGGTAGCTGTCGGTCCCAGGTTTGCCCGCGAAGCCTGGAAGCTGTGTTTAAAAGACATGCGCCCGGGTCGATCGCTGCCGTGGTTCTTGTGCCTACCGACTGACACATTTGGTCTGGTTGGCTGGCATGTCGCACTCCTTCAGTTGATTCTCCCTTGCCCACCAGAGCAAGGCACATTGCCGGCATTATCTCTCCGCACTTCCGGAGAATCAGAGAGCTCTGTGCCGCAAATGGCGCGGCCTTGGTCGAGGATACCTGCCAATCTGCATCAGGGCGCTGCTAGGATTGCTCCAGGTGGCTCCTGTCATGTGCTGTCAGTTGGAGTCAAGGTAAGTCTGCAGCCGGATGCACCCACTCCTCGTGATGTCTAGGATGCCCCTTCCTTGTGTTAGCCTCGAAGAAGACAAGCACTTCAGCTGGCCGGTGAGGGATGCGACAGAGAAGGAGATTCAGTGTGCCGGTATTGAGCGCACCAGAGACAGCCAGCCAAGGGGACTCCTTGGGCAGTGCAGGCCCCGCATCGCTGACTTCCCAGATCTTCCAGAAAGAGAGTCGCATCTGGTGGCTGTGTCCCTCCAGAGCTTGCGCAGATGGATGCCCGGTATGCCTGCCCGCACACACCACTCGCAAGCGCATGCACGCTGATGTTAAGAGTGTGTGTGTGTGTGCGTGCGCGTGCAGCCGCCGGTCGCGCGTCACCGCACACATTTCCCATCCGGGGCGCTGCCGATACAGCGATTATGGTGAGTGCCCCTCGCGTGGGCTGCATTTGCAGTGTGTAGCCCATGTGCCTTTGTAGGCTCCGAAAGTCAGACCTTTCCATCCTGGAAGTTGCCTCTTTTCCGAACAGACATTTGCTGTGCGGCCTGCTACTGTATCGGTCCAGCTCGAGACACCTTGTTTTTCGTTAAGCTAGCGTACTTTTGCCAGAGCCGTTTCAGTCTATGTTAGGGCTATAGGGACCAACAACCGCCCCGAGTACAGAGTGCACTACACGTGCAGTCCTTCATTCTTTCCTCCATTCATGGAGGCGATCGATGCTTTACTACAAAAGAAGTTGACCTGGAGCTATTGCAGTTATTGCATCAAAGAATCAAGCTCAGCTAGCTGAAGACACAAGCTTCCTCGTTATTCGAGTTTTTGGGCGGCTCGGATTCGTAACTCGAATCCAGAAGATTGCTGACGCTTCCGCAGGATGCGGCTCATGCTCACACTGCCGTTTCGGACACAGAGCATGCAGGCCAGGCGGTTCTGTGCTCGCCAGGTCGAGCATTGCAACTAGCTTTGTTTCAGATCTGTAGCAACTTTGAGCAGGAGTTTGTTGTTCATAACCAAGGGACCATCGGAGATGTTGCTGCCTTCTCCTTTTTTCCTACAAAGGCTCGTCTTTTCCTTGCACAACTTAGCCGGTGCCCGGGCAGCCCTGCAGAGGTGATGACAGCTGGTGAGGCGGGAATGGTCACAACGAAAAACGAGGCTCTGTTCAAGAGGATGCAGAGCATCAAGGAGTTTGGGAAGGACCTTCGCTGCCTCAAGCAAGTGAGCCAGCAACCCGTACCAAATCGCTGAAGGACATCGAGGGCCCAAAGTCTCGCCTTGTACAAGTGCGTAAGGATGCGACAAATGGTCGTATTTCCGAGTAGGCTGCTCAATTCGAGGTTCAATCTGATTCAATCTGAACAGCTGGTGTGATCTTATCTGTAGTGCTTCCCTCAAGGTTTACAGGGCTACTTGGCTTCCTGGAGTGCGGTCGAGTGACGGCCAGAGTTGCACGTGGAAAGCTTACCATCTCGATTGTGCATGGTGGATTTTCGGGCAAATGCTCCTGAATTTACTCAGGCCGGAATGCCTTGTTGAGGCGTTTCGCGCAAAGACTAGACGTCAGGTGGATTGCAATTGAATTGCACGGAGCCAGTCCTGCAGATAATTTCCTGCGGGCAGCCAGGTGCTACAGAGTTCTCCTGCAGCCAACCGGCATGGAGCTGAATGTCTATCAGTGTCAGTGCTGTCCAGATCGATTGGCTTGCAGGAATGCCCAGCTTCCAACCTTTGGCCGTGTCTGTCGCAGTTCAAGAGCAAGCTTGCATCGAATTAGCTGCCGAACCAGTCAGTAACAAGAAGCACCACACCGTAGCGACTTGCAGCAATATATACCTAGCGAAGATGCCTTGATGTGGAGCGCATCACTCGTCCTTCTCAGTTTCTTGAAGGACTTGGGTCAGGGCTTGCGGCTTCCATGCTGCATGCCAAGTTGTTGCAAATGACTGCGGACGACACAGGCATGCGCCGGAAGAAACCCGTATGACGTGCTCGGCGTGAAGCGAACGGCCAGCCAGCGAGAAATCAAGCAAGCCTACCTAAAGGCATCGCTGAAGTGGCATCCGGAGACAGTGCTGCAGATTGGCGTAATGCAGGGTGACAAGACAGTTTGCTGAGCTGCCCGCCATTCAACGGTTTCGTGGATCCGTATGAACCAGATGTCAACCGCGGCTCGACTATAGGGCTTTATTGGCTTTGTCGTTGCTGAGGATAAGAACCCAACGGAGGAAGCGCAGGCGAAGTTCATTGAGCTCAGCGAGGCAGATCTCACACTGCAGCGGCTATCATGACAGTGATGTGTAGCTGAGGCCTACAGCGCGCTGTCAGGATCTGCCAGCAGGGGCAAGTCCGTCCCTCGCAGCAAGGAAAAGACCAAAAAGCCTTTCGGACATAATGCTGCCAGGCTGAAACTAGTCAAACCAGGGCCAGCACGCCTTCTTCATTCCCTTGTGCAGTAAATATGAGGTGCACTTGGCGGAGGCCTTGAAAATTTTCGCCGCGTCCGTTGGCTTGTCGTGCTCTGGCTGCGGCAATGCTTCAGGGACTACCCATTACCTTGAACCTTATCTGTCCCCGATGCAGTGCTGCAATGTGCGGGCACAGGAGGCAAGACGAAGACCTGTTGCAGAGGGGCCTTTTTTCAATTCAGAGTTGGTTGCACGGGTGGTCAAGAAGATAGGGGGTGTGCAGCTTTCGTGCTTTGCACGCATGAGCCCGTGTTCGTGCACTAGGGCAAGGCGGGTGAAAAGCAGGGAGATGGATGCTTCTTTTGACTAGGCCCGAGGCGTGCAAGGGAACGTTTCAGGGTCTGTGTCGCCGGCGGCATGTTTCGAGAAATAGTCATGCCCGGCAGTTGAAGCATTTTTTTTCCGTGGGGTGGCTTTTATAGTCTGACTGATTGAGACTCGCTCCTTGATCTCTTTGTCGCGTATCCGATTTGTAGAAGGGTTCTTTGGCAGATTTTGTCGACGTGTCTTGACAGCTCTCTGGGGATCGATGAGAGGTTGTTCCTTTGATGTAGTAAGGAGACGATTGCCCACGTTCGCAGATGACACATGTTTATAGTTGAACACGTGTAGCACATGGAAGGAATGAGCTCGGCGAGATTGAGTGGGCTGCTGTGGAGACGAAGGTCTCAGAGATGCTTTCTCAAGCTGCCGAGTCCGTCGAACAAGCTCTTCGTCAACGTTATCTTCATGCAAATGGTCGCTAGCTTAGATACCCACGCAGGACGCTCACCGACACAATGCGACAGAGCCCGATTCCGTCCTGGCAGGTGCCATCAGGTGGCAGCAGGTGTTGGGCATCTTGGCTTGTTCACAGAGTCAGCATGTCGCCATAGAATGCCATAGATTCCCATGTTATAGATGTCATTTATTGAACTTTCCGCGACGAATTCACGCGAATCAACACGAACAGCTCAACCTCAACCTCCTCTACCACCATGCTGTCTGGCTGCTGCTGTTTTCCCCTGCGAATGTCCCGTTTCTGATCTCCGGGCCTTGGACCTTGGGACATGGCCGGAGTAGGTCAAGCAAAAATCGTGCAGCCCCGTTGTCAGTTTCGTAACCGCCATGCATGTCTGGAGTGTGTCGGCCTCGCGACTCGCTTTCACCTTCCCTACAGCTTGTTGCGTGAAATCACAAGAGGCGGTCGAGGGACTGCACGCCTCCTGCCGACAATTTCTTGTTGGGACATATTTGGTTTGATTTCTTGGGGTTAGGGAAGAACGTAATTACTTCTAACACAAGTGCGTCTGGCACGACCACAGGTCATCACTGTTGCTCTTCCACTCCTACCCGGCATTCATGGTTGAGCTTGGGCTCCTGTAGGCATGATGTGGAGGCTTCCGCACTCTGCCTCGTCCGTACCACGCCCGTGATTCGTCCTAGGGCTTGTTGATGACTCACCAGAACATCCTAGCCACTTGGTGTTTGGGGTATGATCCTTGACTTTGTCGGCTCGCTTTGCAAATACTAGGGTGATGCCACCAAAGCCAGACATGAATTTGCTGTGCAACAGCAATCGAACCTCCCCTGCAGAGCTTTCGACATCCTTTTGGCGCTTTTCAAAATGGAAAGCTGAGGAGATACTGCTGTTGCTGGAGCGGCAGCACTCATGGCAGCTTGGCTCAAGATACAGTGAGCCATTAAAGTTTCAAGTGCTGCAATTTGCGCTCCTCTGTGCCATGATTCTGGCCTGGGATCGGAGGCAGTGTTCGGCAGAGACAGCCAGGATGAACTCTGAATGCGGGTCGTCCTTGGAATGGAAAGAAGAAGCTGGCTCGAGAGTTGATCTTCGACATGAATGACGAGAACGTGCAAGACCGCTCAACAGAACATGCCCATTCTGCACCACCCGGCGGGTTGTCATGGGTTCGCTGCCTTCGCACGAACAACGTGGTCTCCCTGCACACGGCTCCGAAAAAGCTCGCACCCATGAAATTGCTCATCTTAGCTGCCTCAGCCCAATTGTCAGTCGGACAGCTGCAGTGAGCTCAGGCGCCAGTGCCGCCTACAAGTGCGTCAGGCGCTTGGACCGGTGAGTGAACCGAATGACGAACCACGAGAGCAGATGCTTTGCTGTGCTGTACTTCGTCGTACTGTAGTGTACTTCTAGCTGCCGGCTGAAAAGGTTGTGGTGTGCTTAGGTCGTCTTCCTTCTCGACAAGGTGCACGGACGCAGAGAGGAGTTGCGCAGCTTCGCGCAGGAACGAGGCTGAAAGTCGATGAGTGTTCTACAGCTACCGGACGGGCAAGTTCTATCTGCCTGCAAGGTGTCAGTTTTACTGGCGAGGTCTATTTCAGGCTGGAGTGCATCCACTTCAGGTTGAACAACCTCGCAACAGCCTCAAGTGTGAGGCCTGTCCACCGCATGCCTGCTTACGAGAGCGGTGAAGCAATCCATCTACCGATCACCGAAGATCTGTGTTGCGGCCTCGGGAAAGAAGTTGGCAAGAATTGGAGAGGTAACAGCAGAATCGTGTGCACGGGCGAGGTGAGAACCACGTTTGCCCACCGCTTTACCCGGAACTAAGCGACGAGGATGTTGACTATGTGTGCGACGTGATGCCGTGGCCTGGGTTTTGCGAACTGCAGCGACTCGATTGTTTGTGGCCCATGTTGATTGATAACATGGCTAAGGAACGCTTTCCTGCACGGTGTGCGCGCCGACAGCGAGCCAGTGCTGAAGAAGCCAAAGATACACTTGCAATGAGCGCAGCTTGTTAGCTTGTTCATACACATCTTAGCACGCATGCCTCGATCCATTTGTTTCGGTGTACTTGTGAAACGTCCAGGGCTCCAGCATGCCTGCAAAAGTCAGTCATGATCAATGGGCAGAATGGGGCTTAGTGACAAATGAATACTACTTGCAATTGGGATGACCTGCATTCAGGCCTCTGGGAACCTGGATGCCCAGTAGGAATGCTATAGCCTTGTGACTTGTGACACTTGCACGCGGCGATGTTGCTGCTGGCGCCGAACCGATTAGAACTTGATCGTAGCGTTTGGAACTTGAGCGGTTTGCTCTCCAAGCGCAGCTCACCTCCCCCAGTGCTGGAGGCCAGACGATGCATGCAAAAGTGGGTTCGCCGTCAACCCTGCTGCGGCGTTTCTATGCTGGGTCATCGACCGCCAGGCACGCCGTGGACTTCAACAAGAGGACCGTTTGCCACGGTCTTCCTCTGTGTCACGAGGCACTGTAAGCATTATTAAGCTGTGTGGCAAGATGTGGAAGCTGTACATACAGCGCTTTTACAGCTTTGGCTCGGGTCAGTCTGCTTGGGTCTTTCTTCTCAATCAGGTGCCGCCAGGCTTGTCGCCACCGCGGGAAGCGTGTTGCTGGGGCTCTCCCTGCGATCGGCGCCTCGAGTCGCTGTCACAAGCAGAACAGCTCGCCGATGTCTCGTGCTCCGACACGATGCAAAAGTGGAGCTACCTGCGCCGAGTTGCTCGTTTGCCTCATCTTATGTACATCTTTTGCCCATGAAGATTTCCAGAGAGTCGCAGCGTGGCTGTCTTTCAGGGCATGTGCAGCTGGATGACGCGCGTGTCGCCATCCGAAAACTAACTCAGGACAGGATCCAGGGTCTCATCTGCTCGACATCTCTTGACTATGGTGCGTGCGTGCGTGCGTGCGTGC